TTAGTTGTTAATAATTTAATTTAATAGTGAGTTTATTAATTCATTAAAACCGTTCCCTGTGTTCGATACCCAACTTTTGTGCTATACTATTTGCAAATGGATACATTGCCCTAGGTCGAATAGCTAGTAGATTAAGAGGTAAAATTTAGGTGTAGCTTGTCACACCCCAAAACCGGAACGGCTGAAACGTTTTGGGGTGGATGACGTCATGTCAAGTATCACAACATATGCAGTGTAGTAATCAAAGTACAACAACCATTGCATTAATAGTAATAATTTTACATAGGTTACATTTCATAGCAATATCAAAGTAAATACATAACATAACATAGATGCAGCTCGGTACTAGGCTGTGTCCGTAAAAGCTCCCAGGATGTACTTGTCTATCGATGACCTGAGAATACAAGTTATTTTGAAAGCGAGTATCAGCATTTTTGTAACATTATTAGGACCTTATGATAATTATTTGGGCTATTATTATGGGTTATATCAGTGTTGTTGTAATATCTTTTTAACCACTCGCAGTATAGGGAATCTGGTTTGGAGGGTCGCTTGGGTTGTTGGATTCAGAAGTGCTATATGCCAAAATGATCCCGCCCTCCGGTGCTTCATGTCTAACCCCTGTCTGTACATAGTGGGTGAAGAGTATTTTTTTAATGCTTATATAATAGTAATATCGCTAGACTATTAGCTAGTCTCGGTAAAACGTTAGACTAAACTCTAGTGATATTGGTACTAGGTTTTATTGAAGGAAATTGTTTTAAAGTAAACAAAGTGCTGTCCGAGAACCGCGTCACCACATTATCAGGTGAGTGGATAGTTACTTTCATCTTACACATAGATATGAAGTATTTAATATAAATTACGTATAATGAGTGCATGGACCCTTTCATCTTACATATAGATATGAAGTATTTAATATAAATTACGTGCTGTTAGTGCATAGTTACTTTCATCTTACACATAGATATGAAGTATTTGATATATATTGCGTGTTGTGAGTGCATGGTTACTTTCATCTTACACATAGATATGAAGTATTTAATATAAATAAAATGTTGTGAGTGCATAGTTACTTTCATCTTACAAATAGATACGTAGTAATTTATATAAATTACATGCTATGTGTGCATATTATCTGAATACTTGTTGTCTATGTTGGATGAACGATTTTATACATGTTTCAAATGAATTAAACAGTATATGTATTTTATATCTACAAAATATGTTGGGTAAAACATGGGTAGATGAAATATGACTTGGATGATGAGATGAGATGGGATATAGACCATGAGATAAGGGTGAGATGTGAACAATGAGAGAAGCCTTTTACCCAAATGATGGACCCGTTATCTAGCAGAGTATGGATGACAACCACAAACTATTCTAGATAGTCCAGTGGAACACTAGCAGGCTCGTAACCTGTAGGTGTTGTGAACGATGTGTTTACCCGGTGTACTCTAAACCTTGGCGACTATGCATACATAGTACCTAAACCTTAGCGATCATGCAGACTTGATGCCTAAACCCTGGTGGCTATGCAGACTTAGTATCTAAACCCTGGCGACTATGATGACTTAATGTCTGTTGTATAAACCCTGGCGACTATGCAGACTTAGTGCCTAAACCCGATAATGATGGACTTTGTGCCAATTCCTTAGGATAATCCTTAGGAATAAATGAACTAGGAATAGCTGATTTTTAGGGTCGATCCTTAAGAGTAAAGAAGATAATGGGGATGGGTAATTAGGTTGATTAATTATGTGAAGATTAAACATAATAATTATACTATTGTTGGTAGAAAACCTTATGTACTCACTAGGTTTCCCAACCTGACTCACTTAGTTTATTTATATCACAGGTATTGATATGAAGTCACATTACACTGAGAGATTAAGAAGATATAAATCACTAGTGATAATGAATGTAAGTTCTGTTTATACTTATGTTTCTATATTCATGATGACATCCCAAATGTTTTAAAATGAATAAAAATATTTTTCTTCGGAGATGCTTTGATAACGTATTTATCATGTTTTCATATTCCACAAATTTTTTATTAAAAGAGGTACTCTGATTTTTATAAAGCATAAACAAAATTAGTTTTTTCTGACCGTGAAATTAAAGATGTCACATTAGTTGTTATAAAAAAAAAGGCATTAAAGCTTTAGACTACATTCTAAAAACGAGCACCATTTGATCCATCTAAACTTGCATCCTTCCTTTTTTCTCGGATTCACACATAAATGTGAGCAATTTTGGATCTAATTTGTGAGGATGGAGTTTTAATTGAGGTATTTGGAGTAAATTTTGAGGTTTCGAAAAATCCAATATAGCCCAAATGAAAACCAGACATATGACGTCATCTACAACCAAGACCAAATTAGATGCTCCATCACAAATTTTATTTGGTAGTAGTAACTCCAAGGATGAAATTGAAGCCGAAGATGAATTCCACCAAGCTACCAAAGACTTCCACAGCTCCCTTGTGGATTAAGTCACTAATAAATAATAATAATTTTTTTTTGTAAAACTACATCTTATTAAAAATATGTCGAATTACGTAACTTGTGTTGATATATTAAATTGGAAATGACACAAATGTGCTATGAAACTTTTTAGGGTTGGCCTTTTAAGTCACTAAACTAATTCCGTGTATTTATAGAGGCATAAGGTGTGACATCCCTCAATTTCTCGCCCAAAAAAGACCGATTTAGTTTATGCTTTTAAAATAAAATCGGAGTAATCTCTCCAATAAAATATGCGAAATTTGTCCCAAAAGAAAATATGATAAAAATTTATCAAAGTATTTCTTAAAGAAATGAATTTTTCATTTTATTACAAAATTCGGGATGTCCACATCGATACAGACCAAAAGCATAAATAGTATATTATAGACCTTACAACACATATTTACATCCAATGACCTATAATAAAAAAAATCTCTTCATCATCCAGCTATGCTCTGGGTCCACTACCTGTAATATAAAAAGTTGAGTGGTTCAGGTGTGGGAGCCTGGTGAGCCTATACGGTTTTCAACCCTCAATAAATAAATTTATTAATTTCATCAACCAACAATAAATTTATTAATCAATCAACAACATCCCTTATTACCCATTCTTGTTATCCTCACTTTACGTTCCTAAACACCTAACACAATAAACCTAGTCTAAGGATCATAATCGGGGGACAACACTGCTTAGGGGATTCCACAACAATACATGTCAAATAAGGCAACCATGGGGGGGATGGAGTACACCTGCTGAACACTAAGTTCAAAAACACTCGCAGGTTGTGAGCCTGCTAGTGCTCTACGAGACTGTCTAGAATAGTCTGTGGTCATCATCTATACTCCGCTAGATGATTGGAACAACAACAACAACGACGAGGTCTCTCGTCATTTTAACACACATCACATATTTCATCTACCCGTGTTATACCCAATATATTTGTAGATAAAAATACATATACAGTTTAAATCATTCTAAACATGTATAAAAACTTCATTCAACATCCATCTCAAATAAACAAACAATATTTATACACATAATACGTATTTTATAGAAAATACTTCGTATCTATGTGTAAGATGAAAGTGACCACACACTCACTTGATTTGATAATAATTGGGCAGCACTTCATCTCTTAAAATGATCGTTTTCGATAAACCGGAATGTTTTCTTAAAAACTGGGCTTCACGCGGGCAGAGTTTCGTCTCGAAAAACTCTTTTCTCGAGATCTTCGGGCTCTCCGGGATTTGCTTATGATACTAGGATGATAATATAGGCTTGGGGGTGTTTAGTGTAGCTTAGAAGAGAGTAGAAGGGTGAAAGATGTAATTTTTGTAACCATTTTCGGGGCAACCTCATATCCTATTTATAGGAGGCCGAACCTCCTGATTACGATGGGCATAAGCCTTCGGTACACAGGGCGTACAACCTCACAAATCTCTTCCCTGGGCGTAACTTCGTACGTTGGGCGTACGAACTGGATCAGCTCGGACGCGTCAAGGCTACAGCACGTGTCTCTCATGTGAAGGAATATGAAGGAGGGGTGACGAGCTTCGGATCACTTATACGAGTACGCTGGGCGTACTCCTTTGGACCAGCCTCGAAGTTTATCCCAAAAACTTCCAAAATTCGTAAATTTCGCATATGAAATCCGTTTTTGACGTTCTTTATATTCACGTGTAGGTGAAACTATGCTCAACAACTTTTATTTAGACTCCGTCGGCTAGTTTTGACTTTATTTTTAAAGTTATATTTTTAACGGGTCGGGATAGGAATAAACCGTTAAAAATTCATAACTTTTTCATCTGACGTCCGTTTTCATTTGTCATTTTACCGTTGAACTACTATCAACAAGATCTTTGATTTTCATTTAGGTTGTTTCAGCTAAAAATCACTCGATCTAAAGTTCGAGTTTCGGGCTGCATGCTGCTATGTCAAATCTTAGAAAAGTCATAACCTCCTCCTACAAAGTCAGATTTGGACATTCTTTTTATGCACGCTCTCGGTTTAACGTATACTACGATTTTTACTTAGATTGCTAAGGCTAAAAAGCACTTCATCGTAAATTCACTTTTTACGTCATACAACGTCATGCCGGTTCTGTCACGAAACTTCGATGGGTCATAACTTATTCGTTATAACTCATATTTCGGTATTCTTTATATCTCCGGAATCCTTGTTTAAACCTTACAACTTACTTCATAGATATCGGGTTTATCTAATTTTTATTTTCGACACTTATTTTTATTCTTAATTTATTAAATCATAATAATTAAGTATAAGCACATAATATTCAAATAATACATCTTTATTATTTCAAAATAAGTTACAAAGGTTGTCCTAAACTATTGCATCATCATTAATTCATATCCTAGAAACATAGGCTTTACATAAGGTCAGAAGCAACTTGTTTTTTTAGTCCCTCTAACCTATTTTATCCGGTTTTAGTAGACACCTCAACTCTTTTTGCCACATTAGCATTAACGCGAATGGAAATAGACGGTGACACATCAGCTCTTTTGTTCACAATGATTAATTATGCTTTGATAAATGACACACACTCATATTGGGATATTAAAACATCAAAGATGGCTTCCCTTCTCATCTTGATTGTGCTAGAACAGTCCCCGGTTTCGCCAATTCAACCCACCGCATCTCAGACTTACCATTCCTTGATGTTTTTCGACCTGGCATCACTACACATTCATCCTTGTCACCATTTTATCATCTATGAGTTACCACTCTCTAAAGACGGTTTCTTGAAATACCTATTCACACTCTAAAATGCCTGTTATCTAAAACACTTCTCTAATTTTCACCTTTTCCTTGTAACTTAATCATATGTCCAACAGGTACTAGAAACCCCCAAATTCGTTACATAGAAGGTGACGCTGTCTCAGTCATGATTCCAGAGAGCAATATGGATTTCAACAATCTAGTTAGAAATAATCCTAAAGCATGTGATAAGTTTTATCCATTTATACCTCTACTTGGAAAAGCTGAAAAGGTATATGATTATGTTATAATCCCGTTATTCTCCATTCAAGTGACATGTTTCCCTAATAGTGGTTTCTCCATTGGAACAACCAATCACCATGGGCTTGGAGATGCAAGCAAACATTTTTTTGAGGCGTGGACTTCAATTGCAAGATCTGGATCGAATGAATTATTTCTAGCTAATGGAACTTTTCCATTCTATGATAGAGTAATCAACCACCCAACCTTAGATGAAGTATATCCGAAGAAAGCAAAAGTCGACACGTTCAGTGAAAAGTATCAGCCTCGATGCTTTTCTGGACTAAGTGATAATGTTCGGACCATGTTGGCGCTAACCTCACCTTGGAACCCAACAACTCTAGAAGCTCGTCCATTCCACTGAAATACAACAATAACCAATGCCAATGTTTAGCCTTTCCAATTCCAATTGCCATTGAAGGCAACGACGAAGGCTTTGCCTCTTTCTTATGCTCACTATCCCTCTTCATGTTTGATTAAATTCTTAGATTCATCCGAAGTCCCTTCGTGATTATTTAGGTTAATTTGAAATGTCCGCAAATTAAATGGAAATCTATTTTGAGAAAGTCAAAAATGTGATTTTGACTTTTGTATGGAAAAGAGTTTATGTGTCCATTGAAACCTACCCAGAATAGGTTAGAGGGACTAATAAGACAGATTGATTCTGACTTTATGCCTATATAAAGACATAAAATTAATCTAGGGACTTAAATAGTTAACCCTAGAAAACTTTTAGGACATTTGTGTTATTTCCTTTATTAAACTAACAAAATGTAAGAAAATAAGAAATAATTTTACCAAAGGGCTTGTAGCCCAGCGGTATCCGGTGTTGCCCTCCCTACTTGAGGTTGAGGGTTCAAGTCCCGTCGTGGACATAGGTGGATTTAAGGTGTAGTTTAGGAGTAGGTTAGATTTGCCGTTTCAAAAAAAAAAAAATTTTAAAAATAGTCAATGTTGGGTTTTGAAGCCACCGGATTCAATTGACTTCGAATTTGGATCATCTATTGAAATCTAAAATCCAAGAGACTACAAAATAAAAATAAATTTTTTTCCACGTTTTCGAGACACGGAAAAGAATAATATGCACCTTTTAGTATATGTTCACACTAAACAAGTTGATTCAAATATTTTTTAAAACTGTATATACACTAAGAGATATTGAAAGAACATAAGATCTCTTTAACATGCCAAATTATAAAGTGGTTGAACATACCAACATGTATGTATTTGAAATTGTCGCATCTGTTATATTGTTGTCTATTAATATAAAATATTTTTACAAACGAAAACCAAATCTAATTATGTAAAGTATATATTTGGAGTGCTCAAAATTGTAAGAATGAAAAGAACAATCCACACAAAATCAAAATGTCCCACACTTTTGGAGACCCACCAACACCATTTTGCTCATATTCATCATTTCGTTAAGTTGTTCCCGCTTTACTCGCAACGGTTAAATAACAAAGGTTATTTATATAGACTTTCTTTTTGGTTTTTTCTATTTAAATGAATGAAATCGAGTCCAATACCTTGGAGTTGTGACGCGTTATCACGAGTTTTTAAGAATCTTGCTATTAACTCATAAATTTATAGTTTACCAAGAACATGATAAATATCTATTTATACTTATAAATGAAGCATTTTTCCCTTCACATGAAACTCCCATGTATTTTCCTTTTATCATATTTATTTGAAACTTCTATAACTTTTCAATTTCTTTCTAATAATGATTATAAATATCAAACCTGAAGCATGATTATATATAAATTAAATTTCAATATTAAAAAAATCTTTACTTCTACTTATAAAGTTATGTTTTTTAACTTTTAACATATTATACTTAATTTAATAGTTTTAATATATTGTTAGATGTAAACCATTATAATTTTAAAGCTATAACTTTTGAACAATTTGTATAAAATACTTAAATTATTAATTCATATATAATATTATAGGGTCAACTTAAATATAAATTTTAGTTGAACTTATACAACCCAAAAAATATTTTGTAAATAGTTAAAAGTGATAAATTATAAAGTCTTTCTAATAATGATTATAAGTTGGTTAATAAAGTTAAATAAATATCAAACCTAAAGTGTAAATATAATTAAACTAAATTCAATATTAAAATAATATATTTACTTCTATTTATAAAGTTATGTCTTTAACTTTTAATATATTATACTTAATTTATTAGATTTAATATGTTGTTGTATATAAACCAATATCAATTTAAAGCTACAACTTTTAAACAGTTTGTACAAAATACTTAAACTGTTTGATTAAAGATAATATTACAGTGTCAACTTAAATATAAATTTCATTCCACTTAAAAACCCAAAGAATATTTTGTGAATGGTTAAAAGTGATAAATTTTAGTGCTAAATGCAAAAAAACAAAATTACAATCTCAATTTAACTAAAATATTTCCTAAAAATATATTTATAATTGTTAAAAGTTTTCAAATAAGTAGCTTAAAATAACTTACAATAACAATAGTTGAAATAACTCTATATAAATGATTATATTGTTACCTTTAAAATCAAAAAACAAGATTTGATGTCTTAAATGATTATACTGATAGAAACTAAAATGTTAAACAAATAAATTTCAAAAAATTAGTTAACAATAAAAACAAATATAAATAACATTAAACCATATTATATTTAATTTTAATCATGAGTAACTTGCGTTTAAAAGTCATTGAAACAGTTGAGATTATGCATTTATAATTGATGTATATATTATCATATAATTCAACATAATCAATATATGATATCAATTTAGCATAAAAATTATTATGTCAAATTTAACAACAGTACTATTGTTATATTTAAAAAAAACATATATTTGTAAATATTTTGACTATATAGGTGATTCTGTGTAAAGCGCAAACATTCGTCTAATATACTTATAAAGCAAACATTTTTCCTTTTACCATATTCATTTGAAACTCCATGACTTTTCAATTTCTTTCTAATAATGATTATAAATTGGTTAATAAGGTTAAATAAATATCACACCTAAAGGATACTCAAATATAAACTAAAGTTCAATATTAAAAGAATATATTTACTTCTACTTATGATGTTATGTTTTTAAATTTGAACATATTATACTTGATTTATTAGTTTTTATATTCTTTTGTATGTAAACCATTATCATTTTAAAGCAACAAGTTTTAAAAAATTTGTATAAAATAGTTAAAGTGTTAATTTAAATATAACATTTTTGGGTCAACTTAAATATAAAATTTAGTTCAAGTTAAACCACCCAAAGAATATTTTGTAAATAGTTAAAAGTGATAAGTTATAGTGTCTTTCTGAAAATGATTATAAGTTAGTTAATAAGGTTAAATAAACATAAAACGTAAAGTGTAATTATAAATAAATTAAATTTCAGTATTAAAATAATATATTTGTTACATCTTGAAATTCATGACCAAAAATTTCATTTTTAATACAACTAAAAACACTATTATAAATTTGTTCACACATTGAAAATCTTTTCAAATAAAACATTTACCAGAGTTCATTCCCAGAAATCACATATTGCGGAAAAATAGGGTGGGTGTTGCGATCGTCCAGAGCTCCTTTACTTGAAAACTGGAGGTACCTGAAACCAAAACTAATAACCATAAGCACGAAGCTTAGTGAGTTCCCCAAATACCACATACTATACATATCAACTGCTCCATACATGTCATACATAATCGTGAGCCCTACATATCATTCATATATCATAATCAATAAAGGTACTATGTGCCGCACATAGTCTTGCCATTATGCCATGGGCCACCACGTGGTCTTTCTTGTTAAGTCGGGGGCCACCCCCTGGGTCTTACAGACAAGTTCCAAGAGCCACCTCCTGGTATTCCATGCAAGCATCATAAAGACAACTAACATACATACAACTCTACTTAGCTAATTAACATATAGTATGCCAGAAGCCACCTCCTGGTCTTTCATACATAATGTCGAGGGCTAACCCTGGGTCAATACATAATAGCATACAGTGTGTCAGGAGCCACCTCTTGGTCTTTCATACATAATTCCTAAGGATAACCCCTAGTTCTTCCTTCAATGCATAAACCAAATAGGCAGGCATTGGTGCCTTTGACCCATACAAACAGTGAGGAGACTTACCTCGAATGTCGAAGCTCGCTACATGAAATCCTTAGTTGCTGTCCTGACAATTCCTTGAGCTATCAATACCAAAATATCACCCAATTAGCAATTGGGCTCTAATCCATTAATATAACTTCATACCCGGGGTAAAAAAACCATTTTACCCCTAACCTTTCCCTATCCAAACTATGGTCCATAACATAATTTAAAAGGTTCAAAGGCCCATTAATCAACCAATGGCCTAATTTTCCAAATTGGGCCCAATCCTCTACATGTGTCTTGCCATGAGGTTCAATCTTTCTTTTCAGTCCTTCACACTTTATATTTTGATGGCCCAATAATAATCCAAATACTTAAGCCCAAAATGCTAAAAGACACTCGTGGCCCAAACCATGGCCCAAATTTTCCAAATTAGGCCCAAATCCTTCCAGGGCCTTTTCAACATCATTAACAACCCACAAATTGATGGCCCAATGGGCCCAAGATAAACAAACCCAACAGCTGTTTGAAACCGGAGTCCAATAATCAAAACTCCACATGACTAGGTACGCAGGGTGTACTCAGTTGTACGCTGAGCATACAGGTTGTTTGGCTTTCATGCCCAGCGTACTTTCCTGTTAAGCAAAAATCCCAAAAAGAGCTTAATCCTTTAAGATCTGAAGCCCCAATCACAAATCTGAGTCCACTGAAGGGTCTTAATCCTTAAAGTGGATTACTTGGTAGCTTGCATGCCCCCAAATAAGCCTAAACTCCAAAAATGGCATTCTACATCCATGAAAATTACCTTAACTTATGCATGAACACATCAAGACCTTCAAGTTGGCAACTTTCTTTCTTAGGGACTCAAATAGCACCAAGGGTGGAAACCCTAAGGCTAGGAAACATATTTGGACAATAAAGTTTCATCCTTGGGACCAAAAAGGTCCAACACCTAACATAAGAGATCTAAGCATTCAAGAGGAAAGTTCAAGACTTTATACCTCAAGAAGATTTAAAATGGAGCAACAATCCTGGATCTACACCTTCTCCATTGAACCACCACCTTGCTTCAACCTTCACTTATTTGGGGAATGGATTAAAACACTAAGAATACTCTCAAAAGGCCTTCTAAGCTCAAAAACACACAAAATATCGATTAGGGTTACATGGTAGCTGCTTAAGGGTGAGAGGGAGGCTGGTCTTAGAGGCATAATGTTCCTTATAAAGTGCCAAACCCTCAAATCTAGGGTTTTGGTTT